GAGAGAGAGAGAGAGACAGGCCAAGAAAGAGCAAGGAAGTACGAGAGAGAGGGCTGAACTTCTGCATTTGCATTCATAAAAAACAATTACATCAAGCAAAAATAAAGAGGGGCCAAGAAACCCCTAATCTAAAGCAAAAGAACTGCTATCATCCTCAAGAATATCCAAAAATTCTTGAGGAATACATATATTTCTATCTCCTATATCCCAATGGAACGTTTCCTCTAAAGCTCTATCAGCATAATAATGTGTCGCCATATTATATCTTCTATAGGTATGAACAAAAATGATCTGTTGGAATGAACTCAACCAGCTCCACTTGTCAAAATCTTCATGCTTTTGCTTCCAAAGTCTTTTAACTTTAAAATTATGCATAAACTCAATAACAGAAGCATTATCACCCTCCACAATGATCCCCTTAATATCAAACATCCAGTCCAAAGCAAGCTTCCCTATATATTGAATGGCCATCATCTCAACTTGAACACTGTCCCAATGGCAAAGACTCCAACCAGCAGCTACAATAAGCTTCCCAAAGCTATCACGAATCACTATGCCCACTCCTCCTGCATTAGACCTCAAAAGTGCACCATCAACATTTACTTTCAACCAACCTGTAGGGGGGGACACCAAGATGATAGAGAAGACAATCCAATGGATTGAGATCTGTCCCATTGCTCCAAGTGGTAAGAAAGATAATTTTGATTGATCCCTTCCAGGATAATTCCAGCCATAAACATAGGCGAGCTCCGATCCTTCCCATGCTTTACAGCATTTCTATTCATCAAGCTGTAGTAAACAGCATTACAATAAATCATCACCCACATCTTCTTTTCCTTAGCATTAGCCTCCAAATCTTTAAACAACTCCAACAGACACACAAACCTTGGGATAACAAAACTTCAGGACATCCAAAATGTTATGCAATTGGTCACAACCTGTAGTGACATGATCCAAGTCTTCAAGCATACCACAACCTACAGGACAGTGAACATTGACCTCCAGCCCTCTAGTATAAAGCCACCCATTCGTAGGAATAATAGCTTTATAAATTCTCCACCAAAAAGTTCTTACCCGAGGTCTCAATCCAACCTTCAAGATATTGCAACATACATCATCTTCATACCGAAAATTTATGTTATAAACATTTGAAGAGATGGTATTACCCATAGGGTTCTTCACAAGCTCGAGAGAGTCAGAACTAATCTCATTATCAATTTGAATCTCCAAAATTCTATCAACCAGCAGCTCCCCAAAACAAGACAGCAGCTTTGACTTATCCCAGCTTCCCTCCAACGTGATAAGATCTGCAACCCGAGAGTCTTCAATTGCTGTGATATCACAAAATGTAGGCCAAGAAGAAATGGCCCTATCCCAAATCCATATATGATTCAAAACATGAATATCACAACCATTACCAACATTCCACCAGATACAGGGACCAAGGCTGTTGGCACCATCCAGGATAACTTTCCAACCAATAGAATCCTCTCTTTTGCCTTCATACTCCCACGGCCATCTGCCATATTTATGTTCCATGCATCTCTGAAATATGTTCGAAGGCTTATAAATATATTCCCAGGCAATTCTTGCACGTAATGGTCCAACCCACTTGTCACTAGTATGGAAACCAAATCCACCTTTCCTCCTTGGTCTGGAAATATTCTCCCATGAAGCATAGTGAATGCTTCTATATTCTGCATCAACATTCCATAGGAAGCTCCTACAAATCTTTTCCATCTCATTCAGTACAGATTTTGACACAATTGTGTGAGACACAACATAAACATATGTTGGAATCAGTACATAATTTATCAATGTAATCCTCCCAGCTAAGGATAGGTGTCTGATCCCCCAAGCCAACATCTGACTGCGCACCTTCTGTATTAATGGAGCAAAGTCCACCTTTGTAAGCCTTCTCAAAGAAAACTTTAGCCCCAAATATTCCATCTCCTCCACTCTTCTATAGCCTACAATCTTGGCCAACCTGGACTTTGTAGTAGAAGAAACATTCTTGCTAAATAGAATGGCACATTTACTTCTATTCACCCTCTGCCCCATCCATGAACAATAATCTTCCATAATGGAGATGATATTCCTAAGATTAGGAATAGAAGAACCTGCAAAAAGCTAAACATCGTCAGCATAAAGTAGGTGAGAGGCCAGAGGTCCCCCACCACTAATAGAAACTCCCATCTTCTGATAGTTTTGGTGGATATGCAGTGAAAGCAACTCCGAGCAAAGAATGAATAGATAGGATGACAAGGGACACCCTTGCCGAAATCCACATTTTGCAACAATCCCATATGAAAGTTGTCCATTGATCAAAATAAAGAACTTAGGATCTTGGACACACTTTAAAACCCAATCAGAGAACCTTTGAGGGAACCCCATACGCCTCATAATCACTTCCAATGTCTTCCAGCTCATCTTGTCATAAGCTTGCTCCATGTCCACTTTCAACGCAAAAAAGCCAGAGGAAGCTTTAGAGATTTTGAACTTATTAATTACCTCCTGCCCCAACAAACAATGGTTGGAAATAGATCGCCCCGGAACAAATGCATCCTGTTCCTCAGAAACAAGCTTAGGTAGCACCCCTTTAAGTCTGTTCACTAAAACCTTTGCAACCACTTTATAAAGATTAGATGGATGTTCAGGATTTTTGACTTTAGGCACAAGAACCACCACCGTTTCCTTCCAAGAAGGATCCATAAATCCTGAGTCAAAGAATTCCAAACAAGCCTTGGTAACGTGTTCCCCTACAATTTCCCAAAAACTCTTGAAAAAGGAGGCCGTTACACCGTCTCTCCTAGGAGCACGATTTTTGCCCAGAGAACAAACAACTGCCCAAATCTCCTCCTTAGTGACTTCATTCTCAAGAAAACCCGCCACTCCAACCAAGCTATCACAATGAGAACCAAGGGAAGGCCACCCATCCTCCACAATAGCATTTCCACACCATTTTTTTTCAAAGAAACAATGAATCATCTCAGAAATTTGTATTTGTTCTGTTACAGTTGATCCATCAGAATGCTTTAAAGCTTCAATACAATTACTCTGCCTTCTAGCCGATGCCATTGAATGAAAGAACCTGGTGTTCTCATCACCCTCTTCAAGCCATTTAACTTTTGCTCGTTGCTTCCACCAAGACATAATACGGGCAAGAGTACTGTTCAGGAATTGCACCTTATACCTTAAAGCCTCAGCTTGAACTTCAGTTAACTCGCCAGGTAAACATTCCAATTCCTGTAAATATTTAATCTCCCTGTCAAGCTCATCCTTTAATTGATTTAGCATTTTGATTTTATCCCTACTCCAGAAAAAAAAGTGCCTTGAGAGTTCTTTGGCATTTCTTCTTGAGCTTAAGAGCTTCATTGCCTTCATCATCCACTCTCCATTTATCCCATACTAATTGCCAAGCTTTAGGATAAGATATCCAAACATCTTCAAACTTAATCCAATGAGAATACTTCTGCCTCACTTCACTCTGAAAAGAGCACAAAATAGGACAGTGATCAGAAGCAATTCTGCTAAGGTGTCTTACCTTCAACCCTTGGAAAGAATCTAAGATTGAAGAGCTAACAAAAAACCGGTCCAATCTAGAGTAAATTCTGCTCCTCGCATCCTTATTGTTAGTCCATGTAAAAGCAGGACCTGAAAAACCTGGATCAACCAAGTCATTAGCTGCCATAAAATCACATATCACCTGCAGCTCCAGAGAAATGAAAAGCCTTCCCTCCCTTTTTATCTTCTTGTGATATAATGCAATTGAAATCCCCCCCAACTAACAAGGGAGCATCCAAATTATGAGCCTTTGAAATATCTTCCCAAACATGCCTCCTTACATATCTGTCTTTATTAGCATAGACAACTGCAACCTCCAAAAACAAGCCATTGGTACCATAAACCTTCCCCATAATACATTGGTGAGTTTTAAATAACATATGGAAGGAGAGAACAACAACTTTCCACAAGATTAAAATGCCACCTGCATTACCAATAGCAGTTTCAAAAACAAAATCCCAATCCTTGCCAGCAATACAATCAACTTCTTTCCTGCTAAAAGACTCCATCTTTGTCTCCAACAAGCCAATGAAACTAACATCAAACTCTCCCACTAGGTGCCGTAAGTAACTGCTCATCTTTCTCTTACGAGCACCTCTACAGTTCCAACATAGAATGTTAAACATGATCCACCAAAGGGGAAGCGTCCCCGCTGCCAAAAGTTTCAGAAAAAACATCTTGTCATTGCTCGGCAAGGTCTACCTCCTTAAATTTATAATCAACAGATTTATCAATCACCTTCACAAACTATTCAATTGATGAAGAAACCATTCCATCATTAGACTTCTTACTCCTTCTGATCCCATGCATCTTTTGAAGGGGGCCAACATGACCCATTTCCTTTGTGTGCAATTCTTTAGAAAACCTAACCTGTTTATTCATTCCTTTCTTAACACTAGCTTTACCATCTGAGAATCTCAATGCTTTAGGAATCAAGAGCTGAGCAGGGGAGGCCAACATGTCCTTGTGGTTCTTCCTCAAAACCCTCAGCTTCCCACCATTTTTGAGATATACTTTTAACAGCAGTCAACTTTGTGTCCATCAAATTCCCTAACCCATCCAATCTCACATCCTGTATTTGAGTTTGTGCCATACTACTAGAGCCCTCCTGTTTCAATCCACCTGGATTTAACTTGTTGTCAACCAACATATCACAAGGTAGCTTATTGACTGAAGGAGTAACCTCCATCAACTTATTTTCATAATCAGTAGAATCTTTTGCCAAACCCTTAGCATATCCTTTCTTATCAAGAACGTCAACCTCTTTCTATGTCTTACCAACTTCTCTCCATACCGTTTTAAGTGCCAATACAGCAGGTTTACTATCCCTCATAATAGTTTTAGCTCCTGCTTTAGCATTTGGTCTCTTCCTCCTCGTGACAATTGTCCATTCCCCATGATCAACATCTACATCCGTAGAGCTAACATCTTCTTGAAGTTTCCCAAAATTCTATCTGGAATCTGCACCCTTTAACCCCATTAAAAAATTCAAGCCACCACCTGATGAACCAGTAGCCAAACCAAATCCAGCAGCATTAGAACAAAACTGATTCTTTGCTTCACCAATTTTCAAATCTTGTTGCTTAGTATGGGCATGCACCTCCTTGCATAATTCAACCTTATGTCCCACCTTACCACAATTCAAACATATCAGGGGGATTCCTTCATATTCAATGGGTTGGAAGAAGGTACCTTCCAAACCATTAGCCCAAATGCCTTTAGGCAATCTCTTAGACAAATCCAATCTAATACAGATACGTGAAAACGCACATCTGTTCCACAGCTTAGTTTGCTCATCCACAAATAAAGGTTCACCAATACCCATAGCCAGCCTAGCCAAATTGGCTTCATCCCAGTACTCTAATGGCAAGTTTGGTAACCTTATCCAAACTGGAGATGTAAAACCTTTCAAAGATTAAGAAGATAGGCCAGTTTTCCACTGCTCCACACCAATAATTTGACCTGCAACATACCATGGTCCACCAATCAAAACATTATTCCTAGCTTCCATGTTAACAGACCAACATAAGAAACAATCAGCACCCATCGGCGTGATTTGAGTTAACCCCAGATGCCCCCATTTCCTATTAAACTCATTCTGCACAACCCAGAATGGGAGCCGTCGTCCAAGAAGACTACCAACCAATGTTCTACCCAACTTCTGAATATTACTCCTGGACTTGGGAGAGAGAGAGAGAGAGAGAAAGAGAGAGAGAGAGAGAGAGA